CAATAACCTTTCTGCAGTATGATTCAAGGGATCAGTTTTTAGCCATGCATTGTGAAATTACCTGTTTGATGTCAATACAGATGTTCCTCGCTTACCGACTTACCGCCGATCGACCTCCGACCTTGTGCGTCAGCGCGCCGTGTCGCTGGCGGAAGTGGTGTCCTCCGATCTTCACTGCAGGTCCCGGTAAGTATTTTCATTGCCCGATGTACAGTACACTGTTCGGTACTGTACATCGGCAACGCTATACAGTACTGTACTAATGCAGTACAGTACTGTATAGAGTTCCTCACTTAACGACCAATCCGTTTAACGACCTGGTCGTAGGAACGGAACTCGGTCGTTAAGTGACAAATACCTGTATAGAAGAAATGGCAGAAAGGACTTCGGAGTGCCAGTGACTACTTCACTTCCTTTATATAGTTACATAGTATTTGAGGTTGAATAAAGACATATGTCCATCAAGTCCAACCTATTGCCTGTATGCATTTATGTTTGAGCAGGTGTGTGCGTGTATATGAGTCCATGTGTGATTTTGCTCTTAAGAGTACTTGCACCCCTTTATGGTGTGGTCTCCAAGGAACTCATCCAGGAGCTTATTGAATGATTCCACACTCTTAGCTGAAATCACTTCCTGCGGCAGAGAGTTCCAGACCATAACCGATCTAACTGTGAAGAACCCCTTGCGCCCCGTGTGTAGAAATTTTCTTTCTACCAATTTGTGGTGGTGCCCTCTGGTCTTTGTTACGGAGCTAACCGTAAACAGTTTGTTAATAATGTTGCTGTCGCCGTTGAACAGTTTATACAATTAAATCATGTCCCCCCTTAATCTCCTAACCTCCAAAAGAGAACATATTTAATTTTAACAAACTTATGTTTTGAAAACCACGGGCACCAGCTGTCTGAATACAACTGCCCATCAGGGAAGTTTCGGGAAGCATTCTCCCATTCACACTGTTCAACATGGATGGGGGAATCGGGTGGGCTGAACAAGAAACTACATCTGGAATGAAGGAGACCAGAAACAACAGTCCCATATTTCACTCATTAAAAGTTTGCTTAAAACTCCACTTTCTCACAATATGAGAACATAATGTTTTCATCTTTTGTAACATAGTTTAACAGTCAATGGTGCACAGCTACCAATAACCACTGATCATACTGCAACCTCAGCACTGTGTAAACGGAGCAAAAATTATTTCATATTTGATGCTGTAGAAATCCTACAGAGCCTCTAAACCCAAAATCAAAAACTGAATATAATTGGAGCTTACCAGTCCTTAGATGTGATGGCTGCAGAAGTTTTTTTTTTAAAGGCTTAATTTTACTTTTTCACCAGGTAATCATGCAAATAACACACTTCCTGTCCCTTCATGGCTACTTTCATTTCTCTATTGTATGGAGGGAGTCATGGTTGCCCCACAGGCTGGACTTCAAATATGTCTGCCTCTTTTCATCTCCATTACATGGTGGATTGACGGGACTAGTAGTTTATACAAGAATTATATTTGTGCTTTCTTTTCTGCTCACATGAAGTGACAACACAGGCAAAATCAATTAGTATTTTCTTAGCCTAAAAAAATTAAAACAAATGCAAACACCACATCCAAGGACTGGGAAGCTGCAATATATTACATTTATGTTTTGGGTTTAAATATGCTTTAAAGGCTAACATCACCTGATTGCAAACATTATTATTGGTCTTGCTAACCATATCTATTGTTATGTACCTAAAAAAACCTAAAAGGCATCTAAGAAGTAAAATACAGACAAAGCAAGGCAACATTTCTTGATCTATGAAGCTAGGAGGTAAATACTGCAGAGAGATAATGCAAATTAAGCAATGGAGTGAACCAAGGGAGCATAACACGTCTCCGCAAGAAATCACTGTGAAACTTGGAGTCACCTAGTTCAAAGTGGTAAAATGTAACAGGTGACTCATACAAAATCAGACACTTTAACAATAGAGCAATAATACTGAAAGCAGCACTTGGAATTATAAAAAAAAAGATATTTGTGAATCATCTGGCACAAGTGAATGTGTTGGAGAATATGGACTATATAAATCAGGCAAAATATTATTTAGGGACTGTATGGTGAATCTGAGGTTCATACCTTATAAAACAGTGGTTCTTAACCTTTCCTGGGCAGGGACCCCTTGGTAACATTTGCCAAGTTGTGGTGACCCCCAACGGTAAAATGTAGGGATGACGCAGCTGCTGCAGCCACATCTGGCGGCGTGACGGGAGAACTGACACTGCTGCACTATGAGAGGGCTGAGGCGGACTCTCACCTAGCACCGCAGAAATCACACAGCGACCCGCCCTCTGCTGCTGTCAATCACTAGACGAGGACCTGATGGAGAACTTCAGGTCCCCCTCTGCTGATTGGCAGCAGCAGAGGGGGCGGGTGCAATAGCTAGTTTGCTATTGCAAAGTGAAACAGCCAATAGTATTGTAGCTATGCATTCCTATGGTGTTTTTTTTTTCTGACTTACGGCGGCCCCCGATGTCAGAAAAAAAAAAACGATCGCAGGGAAAGGTTTACTCAGCTCGAGCAGAGTAAACCTTTCCGGGAGAAAGTGTTTCTCTCCCGGGCTGCCGGGATCCGCTATCTAATAGCGGGAGACTCCCGGGCGACCCCTGGCAAATAGTCATTTGCCACAGGTTGAGAACCGCTGCCTTATAACATACTTCTAAGAAGCAGAAGACAATTTACAATAGTATGCGATATTGGTAGCACTGGGCTAGGTCTACAATGTAGCATTCTAGAATAACCAATTATAATTATTTTTAGTGAAGACCAGTAAAAAAAAATAGATTTTAATTGGTTGCACTTTGTATATTGGGATTTTATTGTTTTACTGCAAAGGCTCACATTAACCACTTGCTGACCAGGTGTTTACACCCCCTTCCTGGCCCGGCCATTTTTCAGCATTCAGCGCTGCGGTACTTTGACTGACATTAATTCTGCCATCCAACGCTGTACTGAAATTAAATTTTATACCTTTTTTTGGGGACAGATAGAGCTTTCTTTTGGTGGCATTTAAATCACCACTGGGGTTTTTATTTTTTACTATATTAAAAAAGGAAAAATTACTGAACATTTTTGGGGAAAAAAGTCCCCCCCCATTATGTTAGGAAACATTTATTATCAGCCAACTTTTCGGTAAAATATTAAAAGATGGGGTCACATCAGGTAAATAGACACCAAACATGTCAAGCTTTAAAATTGAGAGCACCCGCGAAATCACAAAAAACTACCATACCCAAATTTGACCATAGGCGGCGCTTTAAAAGCTTTTACCACTCATCAGTTTAGTGTTATTATTTTTGCTCTCACTGCGACGTTTGCGGCGATATGCAACATGTGCAGCGTAATGGGCGCAATCAAGGTTTTCGCAGGTATGCGCAACCGACGCGTTTGCATGCGTGTATGTATGGGTGGGGACTTTTTAAAAAGTTTTTTTTTTTTAAATCTTTATGTGTAACTTTAAATGTAATTTTTTTTCATTTAACTTTATTCCTATCACATAGGGGGCTAAGAAAACCCCCTATGTGATAGCAAAGATATGTGAGAGGTCCTCTTTATGGAGACATCAGGGGTCTCCAAGACCCCTGTCACCTAGGACATAGCGTTTGAAGCTGGAGAGTGACAGCAGAATGCAGAAGTGATGAAATATACATAATTTCCGCATTCTGACAGCAGAGAGCGGACCGGAGGGAGATCGTATACCGATCTCCCTCTGATCCCCTGTCAGAGAGCCAGTATGCTGGTCCTGGGCTCGCACCGGGGCCCGGGACCAGCGTGACAGCGGGAGGGGAGGGGGGGGCGCGGACCGGCAGCTTATACAAGCGATCTACCGCCTCTATAGCCGGAGGATCACTTGTATGTTAACAGGCAGCGCTGCCTGTTTTTAAGTTTTGGGACTTTCCCGCTCACGTCGGAGGTGGCAAGAGTTAATATATGTCCATTGAAATTAAGAAACTAAACACTAATATGGTGGTTATTATATTGAACACTGTAGAAAACTCTCCTTACGTGTTGTGATTATAGGTGAACAAATATTATTATTTAGAATTTACTGTACCATAGACAAGCTGAAATAGTGTTGTCTGTAGCTAATGTTTTCTGAAATCCTGATGCCTATCCTGGCTTCGGATGGACATTTCTCCCCAGTCATGACTATGCCAGCAGCATTGGTTAACTTCTATCCATTCTTCCCATATGAATATACACCAATCAGCCATAACATAATGATCACCTGAAAGGTAGGCAAGTCGAGGGAGGCAGTGTGAGGCTTTGGGCAATGTTATGTTGGGAAACCTTGGGTCCTGCCTTTCATGTGGATGTTACTTTGTCATGTACCACCTACCTAAACATTGCTGTGATCAAGCACACTCCTTCATGGAAAAGGTATTCCCTGATGGCAGTGGCCTCTTTCAGCAGGATAATGCACCCTGCCACACCGCAAAAATGGTTCAAGAATGGTTTGAGGAACACAACAAAGGGTTCATGGTGTTGACTCTGCCTCCAAACTCTCCAGATCTCAATCCAATTAAGCATCTGTGGTGATGTACTGGAGAAACAAATCCCATCCATGGAGGCCCCACCTCACAGCTTACAGGACTTAAAAGGATCTGCTACTGATGACTAGGTGCCAGATACCACATCATACCTTCAGAGGTCTAGTGGAGTCCATGCCTCGATGTGTCAAGTCTGTTTTGGGAGCAAAAGGGGATCTACTCAATATCAGACTGGTGGTCATAATATTATGGAAGATCAGCGTATAGTCTTTTTGAACAGCTCTCTGTGGTGGGCCAACATGTGAACCTGACCACGATAAAGCAGGATCTTCCAGTGGCAGATTTATTATATTTTGTTGATAGGCGTTCTTTAATCAACAGCTGGTAATAAAGCTAGTGAGTCATTTATACAAAGATTTCCCAACAATACATCTTACATTAAAAGACAATAACCTAGTTTCATTAAATGCTTACCTTTCTTCTACAGACGTTAAATTGTCAATTTCAGTCATCACTTCTGCAATTTCAAACTTCAACCTCTGTAGGGAGTTAAAACAAAAAATAATAAGCAGTTAATACCAAATGAAAGTGATTGCTTTTACGTATGGGAGTGTAGAAGTGTTGAGGTTTTGACATAATTATTGCACAGGAGAACCCTCCTAAGGATTAACATGGCTTACACATCACAGGTCAACTATGGCACTTCTTAGTTCCAAGTTTCTGTATAAAACGTTGTTCTGAAGAAGCATGCAACAGTTCAAAAGCTAAAAGCTTTAGACGCTGTGATTGTGCATCAAAATCACATCACTAAGATGGATGAAAGAATAGTTGTTTCAAGACAATAGTTAGCATTGCGATGCTGCGATGTTGGCGTGAGCCAGACCAGCAAACACATTTCCTGTAAAATACACCAAAGGAGTGACGTCTTTCTGCAGATTTTACGGCTGATGATTCTTACAAGTGGGCAACAAGGTCTAGTAAGGTCAAATGGGCAATGTGTGACTGAAGAATGGAAAGCTTCATGTGCAACAAGTGTCACAGCTATCAATGACTTTCTTTTCAAACATGAAAATATAAAAAAGGGAAACGTAGGTGGTTGATAGACAAAATTACAAAGTCCATCTTTCAGAAAAATTTCTTAACTTCTTTATGCCAATTAAAGATAAAATGAGTAAAGCTGGGTATACACAGAGCAAATTTCAGCCAATTCAGCAAGAATCCCCTCAACAGCCCTGTCCCCTCAATAGAAGCCGAAGGGACATGCTGGAAAATCATCTGCTGAACTGTGCTTGCAGCTGCAAGCACTATTTGGGTACTTTGACAGCAGCTAGTGCTGCTGTCGGAATACAATGTACGCAGTGGGAGAGTCGGCCATCCACGCGGTTTATCTTAAGGTTCAAGTTAAAGTATAACTCGAATGATAATAAAACCTGCCCTATGTCATGTCAGTATGAAACTATATTACATTAACCCCTTAGTGACCAGTGACGTCCATAATACATCACTGGCACCGGGCCCCTTTAAACAGACTCCCGACGTCTGTTTACAATTGTAAAGCCAACCGTCGGCTAGGGGTTTGGGAAGATGGACGAACCTCCGTTCATGATCCCCTCCCCGTACTATGGGACCGGAAGCGATGCAGATTACATCACTTCCGGTGCCGTAGCCGTCATTGCACGGCTCCTGAAGCCCAGCACTCTGCGATCTGCACTTCAATAGCTTATTTGGAGTGTAAAGGTGACACTGGGGGTCTTTTGGACCCCCAGCATCACCTTAAAGAGTACCTGTCCCCACCAATATGCTATCAGATGGGAGGACATAGCCCCCTATGTGATAGCAATTCAAGTAAAAAAAAAATCAGTTTTTAAAATATTAAATGAATTAGATGTAAAAATAATTTTTAAAATGTGTTAAAGTCCCCTGCCCCCGCGAGCACGTGCGTTTTCACGTTGGGTGCGCCTACGTATGAAAACGACGATCCCGCTACACATGTTGGGTATTGCCGCACACGCCAGAGTGAGAGCAATAATTCTAAGGCCAATGTGTATCTCTAAACTGATGACCTGTGGGGGCTTTTAAAGCATCATCTATGGACTTTTTGGGGTACTGAATTTTGTTGCAGTTTCACGGATGCACACAATTTTTAACGTGGGCATGTTGGGTATCTATTTAATTGTAACCTCATCTTTTATATTTTATAAAAAGAAATATAGATATTCAATTGTGTTTTGGGGCATTTATGGGCATTTTCCACTACATTTTGGGGTTTGATAATACGTTGCGCTAATATCGTGCAAGATAAAAAATTTCAACTGCCACCATTTCATTCTACAGAGTCTTGGCTTTCAGAATATATATAATGTATGTGGGGTTGAAGTAATTTTCAGGTCTAAAATTTTGGAATGAATGTAGGTTCCCAAATGAAAACCACATTCACTGTTAGAATTTTGTTTGTTCGAGAAACATTTTCCATCCTGCTCCTTTTTTTTCGTCACTATGGTCGAAGTCTTCGATTTAACCCCATCAACTGTTAGAAAGTCAAACAAATGTTCTTTCATACGAAAATTCTTTCGAAAAATCTAAGCAGTGTTGGCCAGCTTACGAGTAAAGCAGAACTCCAGGCAAGTGGCCAAATACACGGCTGAAACACAAAAATGGGAACGCTTATTTGCTACAGGGTTTGTAATTCTGTGTGGCCGGTTTTGTGATCCAGGTATCCCTGGCAGACTGCACAGCCAGCGTCTGCCAACTAGACAACAAGGGAGCAACAGTACTTGACAAGGTCACCCTCTGTTTAATTTGCTCTCTCTCCTCCTATCAGCATGTTCCCTGTTCGAGTTATATACCGCAAAGCCTGACTGGCACCTAGTGCAGGTCTTCCTTCTTCCAGTCTTAACCACGTTGTGCAAGGTCACAAAGTATTTAAAACAAATCTGGTACTGCTCTAGCTGCATTAAAGGTAAAGAGAAATACCAGATTAGTGGATTTATTTGACATCTTTTGTGCAGCTATCAATCACTTTCTTTTCTCTGCTAAGGCACATAAGAAAATTAAAGTTAAACCTAAGGCCCCTTTCACGTGGCATTCCAATCAGATCTGCCTGACAGTTTTTCAGGCAGATCTGATTGAAAGCCCAATGTTAATCTATAGGCCGGCAGATGTAAACGGATGTGAGCATGTTTACATCTGATTTCCTTCGAGTAAGTCTAAAAAAAGACAACAAAAAAAAAAAAAAAAGTGTTCAATTTTTTGCGGACCTGAATGTGATGGATTGAAAGTAAAAAGGTTTAAACAGATGCACATCTGCCTGCTCATAGACCTAAGGCCACCTTCCCACGGTCCGATCAGGAGGGAAACCGTGCATGGATCCCCTCCTGATTGGAACGGATGTCACCTCTGTTTCTGTGCAGTTAAGATTAACATTAAAAAGGAGAACTATGGGGTTAAGTCTTTTCCCCATAGTTCTCCTTAGGGTAACGGGAGGACACAAACTAGCGTCCTCCCGTCACCCTAGGCTCAGTATAGCTGTAGCTCGCAGTATACTGAGACGCCGCAGTAGCAGCTCGCGTTATACTGAGACGCCGCAGCTGAAGCAGATCCCGACAATTATGTCTGGATCCGCCCAGCTGCGTGACTGACAGCTGGCTCTGCCTATCTAGAGGCAGAGCCAGCTGTACTCGCCCCCCTCCCCCGTCCGTTCCGCCAGTCAGCGCTGTCGGATCGGGGAGGGGGGAATCCAGCCCCTCCCCTGTCACAGCAGAGAGCCGTGACAGGATCGAGAGGTGAGCGAATGCCGGTATGTGTTCGCTCACCTCCCGATCTACTAAGCCGACCTGTGACAGTCTCATTGTCACAGGTCGGCTAGAACTATGAGGTGAGTGAAAAGCACTCACCTCATAGTTCTCCTTTAAGGTTACCCCGATCCAGCATGATCAGGTCCGCTGAAATGGATCTCTGATCCATTTGCTTTTCTGAACCTGGCCATAGCTGGGGGTAACTGGATGTAAACAGACACCCATCTGTTTAGATCTGGCTGCCCATACACTGACAGACTTCCGTTCAGATCCCCCGAAAAACTGACAGCAGGGCCCAATCAGAAAGCATGTGTAAAAGGGGCCCAACATGGGTCTCTTTAGTTCAGTTTTTCCTCATTGCAAGAAGGAGGAAAAAACCTCTGACCGGCAGTGCATAGGGGAACATGACATCCGTTCAGTACTGTTCCGATCAGCAGGAGATCTGTGCATGGACACTGCCAAAAGTGGTTGTCATAAGGAAACACAGAAAGTCAATTTTCAGGTTTCAGTTTTCACAAGGTCATTGAACACTTACGCCCTAAATCTTTACATTTTTTTCTCCAATTCTCACATTAAAGCTGAACTACAGCTTTGTGTTCATGCTTCCATTTTTTTAAACAGAGCCTATATAGTGCTGCAAGAAACAAAGCTTCAAGTTCAAAGTGAAGTAGCCCACCAGAATTCAGTCTGGTATTAGTAGTGCTGTTACTGGTTGCTAAGGGTCCCCAATTTTCCTAAATACCTTTATTTTTCTGCAAGACAATGTCAGTCACTGTTTAGCATACTCTTGCATGGTACAACTGATAAACACATGCAGATTTTTCACATCTGCTAGCTGGACCTTTTATTTTGTGCAGATGTGTGAGAACAGTTAATTATGGCTAACTGAAGTCTTCATATTTCCAAAGATTACTAAGCATCCACAGGGATTGCAAAATCTTTTAAACTCTCCAGGACCCCATTTAAACAGAAGACACTAAATATGCTGGCCTCTTCCTGCCGGCTACTTTCTCTAAAGATTCCACACCCACCAGTGTCACCATGATGAGTGGTCTGCTGAATCATACACTCAGCTGTATGAGAACAATCCCACACAGCTTCTCATACAGGGGAAAAAAATATCCGCTGATCATCTCCAGCTTAGAGATGATTCACAGTTTAGTTATCGATGGCTAGCAACCTTTGCCATGACATGTATTGGCACAATCACTGATTGGGCTGCATTTAGCAAAGCAATCCTTCAAGCCAGAACATATCAATATTGGAGAGACTGCAGTGGCCTTGGGTCACACAGCTTGGACAAGCACTAAGAACCTTTGCTATTGGAGGGCATTTTGTAATGAAGTTACTGCACCATGATATCAAAATGTAAAATGTGTGCTATTTTTTAAAGATATTCTTCAATCCTAACTGAAAATTAATAAAATAAATACAGGGAGAACAGGATACCTGCACAACACTTCAATAAAGTGCATAGAGGCATTGGTGTTGTGCACAAGTCCAACCCACTCCCCACAGTTGGTAACCCATTTTGTGTACAAGAGAGGGGAGGGATAGAGAAGGGGGTAAGAAAGGAGAAATAAGGGGGGTATATAACGGGGGGGTGACCGAAACAGGGGGCGTTAGAGAGATAAAGTGGGTGAAGAGGGATGGGGTGGGAAATAGGGAGGGGTGAGAGAGGAGAGAAAAGGGCGAGAGGGGGGGAGAGAGAAAGATTTACAGAGCACAGGTTTTAAGACAAACCGATATCCTGAGTAATTGTCTGTTCATACCCAAATAGGAAAGAAAACGCAAAGCAATGAGGGGTCCATTGACTTGAAATTGTAACTTTCGAATTCTTTCCGATCCATTGTGTTGCGATATGTCCTTCCATTAGCACTGGATGCTAATGGAAGGACACCAAAAAAAAAAAATCAATGGGTATGAATGGGTCTAGTTCACACCAGATCTGTTGCGTTACTCTGGGCTGAAAAAAAAGTAGTGCTTGATCTACTTTCTTTTTTTCAGTGCAATGTAATGTAACAACTTAAGGAAGCAGTGCGGACTAGCCCCATTCAAACCCATTAATTTTTTGGTGCCTTTCTGTTAGCATCTGTTGAAAAAGTATTGCAACGTAATGGATCGCAACACATCGGATCTGGTGTGAATGAGCCTTGAAATATGTTGACCACCTATTCACACCATGTGCAGTGACTGGCGTTTTTCTGCACCCGATCAACGCCAGTCGTCATAGGGGAAAATATTTGTTCTCCAAGTGTGTTCTGTTCACACCACAATGGGACAGAGAAGTGCGGAAAAGGCAATACCACCACCACTGGCACACAGACACCAGCCCACATGCTAAAACAAAATCGTATGTTTGGTGCGAACGAACGCTTATAGTGGATTATAGATAGGGATGCAACGATACCAATATTAGTACCAGTGCGGATACTGAGTATTTGGGCGAGTACTCTACCAAATGCTCCGATGCCTACCCCGATACTGGAATTTCCTCTGACCGGCAGTGCGTAGGGGAACATGGAGCCAGCTTCCCAGGCAATCAAGAAGCCGGGTGGCGAGTAATGACCCGCCTCCCGGCTTCCTGATTGGCCAAGAAGCCGGCTGGAAAGCCGGTTTCCCGGCCAATCAGTCGGCTCCTTGAGGATTTGCTGGGAAGGTGGCTTCCCAGCCAATCAGCATTGAGCGGGCTTCCTGGCCAATCAGGAAGGCGGGAGGTGGGTTATTACTCGCCGCCCGGCTTCCCGATTGGCCGGAAGCCGGCTCTATGCTAATTGGCTGGGAAGCCCGTTTCCCGGCCAATCACAGTCGAGCCGGCCGAACAACATGGAGCCGGCTTCCCTGGCAATAAGGAAGCTGGACGGCATGTCATTACCCTCCGCCCGGTTTCCTTATTGCCCGGGAAGCCGGTTCCATGCCAGCAGAAGCACAGGTATTGGTACTCTGTATCGGCGAGCACTGAAAACATGTAAAATATCAGTACTCGATACAGAAAAACCGTTATCAGTGCATCCCTAATTTTAGAGAACCAAGATTAAAAGTGCAGCTAAACACAAACATTAATATATTGCAGCTTATTAGATGAGGTGGCTGTAATATTTTCCTTTTTCTGTCTTTTTTCCCCTTTGCCTGGTGATTTTGCAAATAAAACACTTCCTGTCCTATGGTGACAACAGTCACTGCCAGGTATAAAAAAACAAAAACAACATTGTCACCATGGCCTGCTTTACTTTATGTGGACAAAACCCGCCCCTTCATTACATAGAAGGTAGTTGTTTTGTAGTTCACAGAAGATAGCTGAGAAAGCTGGTAACATTGCGATATCAGTTCAGTCCAAAGGAAGTTAGGAGGACACAAGATTTCTGACAGGATCAACAGGTATAATAATGCATCTGCAGAAGTTACTAAAAGTGTAAAAAATAATGAGTCTATGGACGTTACACAATCCTAGACGTATACCCCACAGCTGGAAAACAAACAATTCCCACAAACATTGCTCAGCACATTGCAATTGTTACCTCAATGTCATCTATAAGCTCTTTTTTCCTCCGTCTTATATTCAACAGTTCTTCCCTTTCCTCTGATGACAGGTCTTCTGGAACTGAAAAAGAAATGAACTCATGTGAATCTCCCCACACGGAGCAGATGCAATTACTCTACAGTAAACGATGACCACTTCCTGACCAGAAAACACTATTAATATAAAAGCAAAAAACATGTTCAAGCCACAATGGCACCCACAGCTAAACAAGAAGCAAAGCTAAAAACTCCATCCTTTGATTTCCTCTCAGCCTTAGACCCCGCTGCTGCAGTTTGTTTAAAGGCCACGCTGACATCCTACGTAAGGACTGCTTGTCGCCAAGGCTACGGACTAATTCAGTTTACTGGTCTCACGGCCTGGTCACGGTGACAGGAAACACACAGCAGCTACAAAAGCAAAGGCTCTGTGATGACTTGATAAAACAAACTATTGAATTCTGTTTTATGTTCAACATTCTATATTAAAAAATAATGAAATATTTACACGTACAAAATGAAAACAAAGAAAATAGATGGTTGGGAACACAGCGTTAGGTACATGCTTGCATGCAGAAATAAGCCTTTTAGCTAAAACGGATTCAGCATATTGCATTAAAAAGTCAGCTGTAACAGTGGATTGTATGATTATAGGGGTGGCGGAGAGCTGGGTGCCGCAGCCCTAGGAGCTCAACTTGGTCCTTTGATCTGTTTCTGAAACAAGTAATCAGCGGAGTGTCTGCACGCGGCCCACCCCATGAAGCTGCCATACTGCAGAGACTTCAACAATACACACTAATTGGACTTAAAGATGTAAAAGGAATCAGTGCTACAACTTGTAATTGTCTCTACTACACAAAACAGATCTATCAGGGAAGGAAAAAGGTAAACCATCATGAGAAATGGGTTGACAGAGACCTGTTCCATGGCAATGACCCTGAATTAATAAGCATATCATAAGAAATTCAGCTTCACAATATCAGGGCCCATTAACACCATGTGCGGACCAGATCCAGACCAGAACTTTTTTTGTCTGGTCCAAAAACGCATCGCCATTCATTCCTATGGTTAAAGAGTAAGGCTAGTGCACACCACTGCGTTCAGTTCCAGAACATTTCAAAAAAATATCTCTGGTCTGAAGCACAACACATGTAAACACATATAAACAATTGCAAACGCACCAGAACACACTGAAACGCACTAGAATGTCAACTGAGACTTAAAAAATACCAATGGAAAATATCAAAAAACACATCAAAAAGGAACATGAATGCGTTTGCAGAAACGCATCCAGATCTGGTCAGTGTGTGCAAGATGGCTCTGATTTCTTCTATACTGAAGGGGGTGTTATGTGCGCTTTCACTGCTGGTAGGCCAGCGTTGTCAGTTTTTGGCATGGTGTTCTTGGCTAAGAAAGAGATATCCCAATTTAATGGTTCCTTTACCTTAAAGGAGAACTATGAGGTGAGTGCTTTTCACTCACCTCATAGTTCTAGCAGACCTGTGACAATGAGACTGTCACAGGTCGGCTCAGTAGATCGGGAGGTGAGCAAACACATACCAGCGTTCGCTCAACTCTCGATCCTGTCACGGCTCTCTGCCGTGACAGGGGAGGGGCTGGATTTCACCCTCCCCGCTCCGATCCGCCAGCGCTGACTGGCGGAACGGACGGGGGAGGGTACAGCTGGCTCTGCCTCTAGATAGGTAGAGCCAGCTGTCAGTCACGCAGCTGGGCGGATCCGGCACAATTGTCGGGATCAGCTTCAGCGTCTCAGTATACCGCGAGCTACAGCTCGCGGTATACTGAGCCTAGGGTGACGGGAGGACGCTAGTTTGTGTCCTCCCGTTACCCTAAGGAGAAGGAATGGGTTCAAAAATTCTTGGTCAAACAGTGACTTCAGTCAACCAGCTGCAGTCACTATTCGGGTATCCTAATACAATAGCCGGCTGGAAGGATTGCCCCATCAAACACGGTTTAGTATGGATAGGGAAATCAAGCATTTTTTCTCATTTGGACCCTTGGGCTGAACGAGAAAGAACGTTCAGTGTATGGACAGCCTTAATCTCAGTCCTAGCCTTAAGGCTGTATCACACAGTCCCATTGTGGTAACACACATAGTATGCACTGCCATTCATTTTGAATGGCACTGCGACACACTAAAGCCACACTCCAGCATTGTAGCCTGGCATAACACATTTTAGGGTGTTGCCATGTTAGAAGAAAAGAAAATGATCATGTGCAATTTTAAGCACCTTGGTGAGTGTTGGCTGCCCGTACATTTTGAAACAGCTGCGCTAACACAGCACATTGCGTGGCAATGTGCGGTGCATAAAAGCGCACATATATCATTGGGGTCCAACACTCCTTTTCAGCTGAACACCAGAAGATAAAACCCATACCACTACATGTAGTTATGGATTTATAACTAAAAATCAAATGTATTCCTAAACTGAACTAGTTTAAATAAATAATTTTATTTTTATTTCAGTAACTTGTAGTCTCCTATACAGCAGCTCTTAGAATGGGAGAAGAAGGGCCAGCACTTGGAGTCATTTAAGTGTTCTGCATGCAAAATTTAAAAAAGCTGACATGAGGAGAAATAACTTAATCAGTCTGCTGCTGCTCATTTCCTGTCTAATCACAAAATAGGGGCAGGGAGGTGACCATGCTGTGTTGCTTAATTGCAGCAGAAAAAAAAAAGGTCAGGTTAGCAGACAGGGCTTTATAAATCTCAAGATTTGGACAGAAAAACATATACTTTGACAGGTAAAACAGATCCTATATTTGTATTTTAAATGTTGGATTTTAGTGTTTGCCTGGATTTAAGCCTTAAAGAGAGATTCTGTCACAACTCCATACCCCACCAAATGAACATACTAAGTAAAAGTATTTATCTAACCATAAGTCAGGCTAACTTTATTTTTACAAGTTTTGCCATTCTGGAATTAGTTCCTATATTTCTAGCCTCTTTCCATATTTCCGAGAGTGTTGGAGTCTGTGTTCTAGAGAGGCCCAGATTGGCCCGGACAGTCTTTGCAGATTCAGGACCTCACAAAAAGAGACTGAACGGACAAATGCAACCACCAACTCCATACGGAGTCCCAGCCAAACTTTAGAACACAGAGAAACTGTTGTGCAAAAATCAAGGAGCAGAGGTTGACCTATGGAAGCATAAGAAAAGGATTAAGAATAGCCCATGCAGTTGTCAGGTTAACTAGCCTAAACCTAAACACGGGGCTATTATATGCATGCATGACTGTGTTACATTCTTAACTCTTTTGTTTTAAATAGGAGCTAGACTGGCAACAAATAAAAATATTGCAAAGACATAAATGTAAAATCTAGTTGACTGCAGAGTAAATGGTGGTTAACACATTATGAGATCGCAGCTCACCTTCCTGTACATGTATACTTATTACTCAACTCTTCAGAGTGAGTCAAAAAAAGTCCATAGTCTGAAAGGTCATAAAACCATCCTTAGGTAAAAAAGTCAACCTATGCTTTGTTCATGTAGGACAAAGGTGGTAATCATTTCCTTTGATCCCCCCAGTGCTAGTAGACAGTCCTGTGCGAACTCTGAGCACTAGGTCAACTATCCACCAAAGGGTAGGGAGCTAAAACTGACAGTTGTCACTGGAACAGCAGGTGAGGGAATAACTCCTAATGGTAAACATTGTTCCAGTGACAACTGTCAAAGTTTGGATTTTCTCTCCCTCTTGTGTTACCAGAAAGAGGTTCAAACCCTTCCACGCTCTAATGTAGCTGCAATCTGGTAAACCTGAGGAGGAAACTGCAAATACTGGAAGGGTATGTAAGAAAAAGAGTAGTGTAGAGAAGTGTAAAGCATTTGAAAAAAAATGCATTGTGCAAAGAGTGGAGAATAATGCACAGTGTACACAAAGAGTGGTGGGGTGAATATAGCAGACAGCACAGTGCACACAGTCATTTTGTGAAATGATGTAAACTAAAATTAGCTTGACAAACATTGCAAAACATTTGTTAGCTTAAGCCAACTTTAATAGCAAGCCTAACATCACACCCAAATGTTAATGAATCCCATGTAGCAAACCTGCTGCAGGTTTCTCTCCAAGGTCAGATACGTTTGATGCACAGATATTCAAAGACCAGCTGAATCAAAACAGACTGGAAGAGTTGGGATACCTACACCTAGATAGCATCATGCACTAAATGGTACATTCATTAAAGCTGAACTCCTGTGAACTCCATTGTCTAAATACATAAGGTATGTATTCTTACTTCAACAGTAGTAATCCAGTGTGAAACTTTGCCTCTGTGCAGGAGCTTCCTGTGATAAAGAGCAGTATTACAGATTTTGTACAGCACAGTGATAAGGGATAAACCTGGACCAAACCAGAGTCAAATCTGAGCTCCTTCGAACTCAGAAGGTACATTTAACTCCCGCCAAATCAGCTGCAGGTCAGGGCATTCCCCGCCCCACAACTGACCATAAACAAAAGGGGGAGGATGCCTCCATGGACTGTACTTGTTTATCCAGTGCATCCCACAGATGCTTAAATTGGACTGAGATTTGGAGGCCAAGTCAACGTCTCAAACTCGTTGTTGTGTTTCTCTAACCATTCTTGTACCATTTTTGCAGTGTGGCAGGGCGCGTTATCCTGCTAAAAGAGGCCACTACCATCAGGGAATACTGTTTCCATGAAGGGGTTGCTTGGTCAGCAACAATGTTTGGGTAGGTGGTACATGTCAAAGTAAGACCCACATGAATGGCAGGGCCCATGGTTTCCCAGATGAACATTGCCCAAAGCATCACACTGCATGCATTATTTTTTTCCGATCGCACTGCACTACAACGGAGGGCATTCCTGTACCTCACGTCCCGTTGTGGGCGATCGCACTGCGGGTGGGGGGGGCGTGCCGGCAATGCCATTGACATGAATGGCATCACCCCAGAACGTGGTCCAGCCTGATCTGTGCGATCCAGTGTGTTTCAGGCTCAGACCACGCCAAAACATTGGATATGGTGTGACTGGGACCTTCAAATGGGCTTTTAGGTGCGGTCCAGTGTCTTCCGTACGTTTTTTATGCGTTTTTCTTGTTCCGGTG